CTAGGTGTTCTGGTTGATCACAAGCTAAACATGAGCCTGCAGTGCGATATGACTGCAAAGAAAGCTAATGCAATCTTAGGATGCATTAACAGAAGCATTGTGTCTAGATCACGGGAGGTGGTAGTTCCACTCTATTCTGCTATGGTCAGGCCTCACTTGGAGTACTGTGTCCAGTTTTGGGCACCACATTTTAGGAAGGCTGTTGACAAGCTCGAGTGTGTCCAGAAGAGGGCAACCAGGATGGTGAGAGGGTAGGAATCCAAGTCTTATGAGGAAAGGCTGAAAGAGTTGGGTATGTTTAGCCTGGGAATGAGCAGGCTTAGCTTAGAGGGGACATGATTGCAGTCTTCAAGTATTTGAAGGGCTGTCATGTAGAAGAGGAAGCAGATCTCTTCTCTCTTGCTCCGGATTGCAAGACTAGATCTAATGGGTGGAAATTACAAGGGAGTCGTTACCAGCTAAATATCAGGAGAAACTTCCTAACTGTAAGAGTGGTTGAGCAGTGGAACAGACTGCCTCGGGAGCAATGCTCCCTCTAAGCTGTGGAGTCTTGTGAGCAAAAATTCTACTTTGTGAGCTACTGGCATTAAAGCTGTGAGTGAGCAATTTGGCTCTTGCATAAATTAGTTTGCTCTGGAGCCATCCTTCCTGAGTGAAGACAAAAATGTGTGAGCCGGAGGCTAGAAAACTGTAAGCTAGCTCACACTAACTCAGCTTAGAGGGAACACTGCTCAGGATGTGGTGGATGCTCCTTCGCTGGACGTTTTCAAGCGGAGGCTGGACGACCATCTTTCGGGTATGTTGTAGGGCTATCTTTTGGCTATGCTCCTGCAGAGTGCAGGGGGTTGGTCTAGATGACCTGCAAGGTCCCTTCCAACTCTAACATTCTATGATTCTATAAGCCACAGAATTTCAGCAGAAGCTAGGATACTAATGCTTACCTAAGGGACCGCCTTCCCTCATATGTTCCCCCGCGAGCACTTCGGTCTGGGACGCAACATCTCCTGGCAATGCCAGGTCCCATAGAGGCCAGGCTGTCCGCGACCAGGGCCAGGGCTTTCTCGGTGGCGGCTCCTACCTGGTGGAATGAGCTCCCGGTGGAGATCCGGGCCCTGCGGGACCTTGTACAGTTCCGCAGGGCCTGTAAGACGGAGCTCTTCCACCAGGCGTATGAGTAGGAGCCGCCACTAACAGTACCATCACTATTGTCCATCTTAACCTGGCCCTGGAAGAGGGAACATCAGTGGTTCCTGGAGCAGATGATGCTGAGGAACAGAGCAGTGGAAATAGAGCAGTGAAATACGCCATCTTGGGAAATAACACCTAGAGCACTTTATTTAGTAATTGGTTAATGTGATTTTATTTGTATTGTAGTGATCTTAAATGATTTTAAATATGTTTTTATATTGGCGCATGCCTCTTTGTAAGCTGCCCTGAGCCCGCGTAGCGGGGAGGGCGGGGTATAAATTGAATAAAATAAATAAATAAATAATGGCATGGAATTATACCAAAGTAGCATTTCAGTTTTGTGCTGCTTCCATTTCCCAAGAGCCTTGCTGAGTTGAGAATCATATACATACACACAGACACACACACACATCTTGAACTGTAGCAGAGGATGCTCCCAGAAAGAGAGAAAACAGGCTTCTTAGGGGGAGGGTTATCCCCAGTATGCGCCATCATGCACAGACACTTCCCCTGCTTTGTTCTTTCTCTACAGACTTTTGTGGAAATCTGCAAACGATTGCCAGAGACCAACATTGGCACCTTGATCACTTCATTAATTGCCTTGGTTTGCATTCTGCTGGTGAAGATGCTCAATGACAGATTTGCCAAGAAGCTTCCACTGCCCATCCCTGTGGAACTGCTCACAGTAAGGCTGGGCAGCAGACAGAAAGTCTGGGCCTTTATGTTAAATAGGGAATTCTTTTTTGCAGTTGTCTCTGTATGCTTGTTATGGAATGTATCCCTCTCACAAGGGTCATTGCTTTAAATAAGGACATAGAAACTGGAAGTAACTGTTCTAGAGCATCACATTAACCACTCAACCAAAAGGCTGTGTGATGAAAGATCTCTCTAATGATCTCTCATTGCAAGTACCAGTGTCATGACTGAAGAAAGCTTAGAAGTTTATTCTAGGTCTTGGTGCAAACCTTGCAACTGAGCCAGGAATCACTCGATGCAATCTTTTAAGAACTTTATTTTAAAAATCTAATTATTTTTAAGTAAGTAAACAAGAATCACAATTGCACTGATTGGTCTGATAATTATCAGGAACTAATAATCCTGAACTTACACTCTACCAAAGCATACACTCTAACCAAATTTGTTTGTGAACACTCGCTCAATCTTCTATACCAGGGGTGGCGAACAAGTTCGACAAAAAGAGCCAAAATTTTAAACTGTGAGAGTCAGAGAGCCACACCACGCAGTGGAACTCCCCACACCCCGACTTACTGGCCGACGCCAGCGCCGAAGACCGGGAGAGGGAGGCAGCGCCCCAACGCCGAACCTCCCCAGAAGATGCCCGGCTGCACGAGACAACCGCAGGACGCGCTCGGGCGCGGGGGCGAGAGCCTCGGCCCGAGACGCGTGACAGAAGCTGCGACAGGGGAACAGGGCCGGCGGCGCGGCCTCAACGGCGACCGGATGACAGGGAGCGCGTGTCCGGTGGGCGTCTACCCGGCGGCGCGCGTCTCCTCTGTTAAAGGGGGGGCGGGGCCGGGAGTGGAAGAGTGGTGTGGCCCGGGAGTGGGAGGGGGGAGGAAATAAAAGGCGGGCGTAAGAAGGGACCGGGGAGGAGCGACACGGAGCGACTGGCAGAGAGCGAGAGAACGGAGAGAGAGACGGAGACGCGCCAGGGGTGCACTCAACCCCGCCCCCTGCCATTCTGAGGTCCTCTTCTACCCCGTCTTTTCCAAACCCTCACCTCCAGAGCCACGCCGCTCCTCACGGGGCCCACTCACGTCGTGCCACAACGGCCACTGGGGGCGCCACCCCCAAGACCAAGGAGGAACGCGACAGAGCCACAATATACAAAATGATGATAAGAGGCAAAGAGCCGCATTAATTTTGGCCGGGAGCCGCATGCGGCTCGAGAGCCGCGTGTTCGCCACCCCTGTTCTATACAATAGTTATATAGAAGATTGAGCGAGTGTTCACAAACAAATTTGGTTAGAGTGTATGCTTTGGTAGAGTGTAAGTTTTGGCAATAGGGAATTATCCTTATTTTAAACAATTGTATTAACGATCTCTTGCTACTCATAGTTTTAGTTTGTTTCCATCCCCAAAGCCTATAGGTGTGTATGTAGTTTAGAAAAACAATAAAAAATGTGGTTTTTTTAAAAAAAAGAGAGAATGCTAGTGTGTATAAATGAGATTGGAAGTAAAAAGGCAGACATGCCATCCCTATCTTACCTAGATTAAATTTAAAAATAAAATGCAATTTCTAGCATTCTTACCTAAACCTTTGCAGAAGAGGTAAGATAGTCTCATTGCTACCCAAATTTGAGAGATTTTTGGTTTTAGGGTATGGTTGCCTAATATAGACACAATTACGTGAGCCTCACATGACTTTTTAAAACCATCTAATTCATTTCTTCTAAAGACACAGTGTAATACACCTCTGAGAATAGGTTAATACTTTCCCAAAGAGTAATTGTTTCAAACTCTGTTCCCCTCATTCTGGGATTTATCCTGGGCATAAAGCCATTTATTTATGTTGTTGTTCTCAAGGCTGCAAACCGTAATTTAGTTGGAACAATAAGGAAAATGCATGATTGCAGATTTACATAGAAAGCTAAAATCAAACTCTCAGGCCTACTTAGTCAAACATTCTGAGCAACTTACTTCTAAAGTTAAAATTCCACAACATAGTCTTCTTTCTCTCATAGATCTAGCTCTTGGTGGTTGTGCAAGGGACCTGATTTTTATTGTCATCCCTGAAACCCGCACAGCAATTTTGCATTTATATAGCCCCCATCAATTAGTGATGGGAAGTCAGAGCAGAGTTAGCACAAGGATTTTGCTCTGAAGGTGGTCAGGCTTCAGCTTAATTCTGGCTCACTGAAGAGGCTGGATGATCATCTAGATAGGCGCAGGCAGGGGTCTTTTCGTAGAAAAAGATCTGCAGGAGCTCATTAGCATATGGTATGCTAATGAGCGACTAGGCTATTAGCATATGCCACACCCCCTGAAATCACTGGAAGTTGTGTCAGAAGGGGAAGCAAAAGGGGGGGAGGCATCTTCAAAAGCCTCCCCTTCTCTTCCCCAGCTGGCCTGGGGGGGGAGCGAAGAGAGAAGGGATTTAAAGTTTAAACCCCTTCTCACTAGAGTTGGGCCACAGAAGGAGGAAAGAGGGAAGGAAAGAGAGAGAGTAGAGAGAAGGAAAGAAGGAAGGAAAGAGGGAAAGAAAGAGAAGGAACGAAGGACGGAAAGAAAGAGAGAGAAGGGAAGAAGAAGGGAAAGCGGGAAAGGAGGAAAAGAGAAGAGAAGGAGGGAAAGAAAGAGAGAAGGAAAGAAGGAGGGAACGAGGAAAAAGACCACCCCCCATCAAGCCCCTGCCACCCCCACCCCCGCGGATCCCTTACTTACAGCTTTGGCGGGGGCCGGGGGATGCAACGGCGGGGCTCTCCGGCTTCCCCCGAGCCACAGCGCTCCTGCGTGGGCCCAGGGGATGCGGGGCTTTCCAGCCTCCCCTGAGCCACAGCGCTTTCGGCGCGGGGAGCTAGGGGCGGGGCTTGCCGCCATTAGCGCAGGCTCCTGGGCTGCCAGAGCAGTGCTCCGGCCTTAAAAGACCCCTGGGCGCAGGCAACCTTTCTGGCTCAAGTGCTGAAATCATGCAATGTCTACCTGTGAGGATGTTGGTGTTCCAGCAAACAAAGCAGGGGGAAGGGAGATGAGGGCTATCCTTGACCAGATACACTTGGAGGAAGTCAAGTCCAGGTGACACTGGTGGAGCTTGTAGGATTCACCTTGGACTCACTTGATGCTGTGCAAGTCTGGGAAGCAATGACAGACCTAAACTGTGCCTGTTGTCTTCTCCCATGCTGTTGGAACCAGCAGTGCTGCCAGTATCTTGGTTGCATGAGCAGGGATCTGGCCTAAGGTGCCAAGTGAAATGGTCTGGTTTTCCAGTGTTCTGCATGCATGCCAGGGGCAATGTTCCCTCTAATTTCCCCTCACACACACTGAGCAGAACAATTCACATCCTGAGCAGAAAATAACTGCTGTGATCTTAAAATGGGCAAAATCTGCATGGCTCCAAATTGCTGCTGAGCAGGGCTTCCTGTGTTAATGAGTGGCCAGTCATGTGCACAATTTAGAGGGAACACTGGCCCAGGAATTGCCTACACAGATCTAGAAAGTTTTGGCCTGGCTTGTTTGTTCAGAAACCAGGATATTCAGTAACTAATATGGATCAGCACTACAATTTATGAGTCCACTAGCACCTTAAAGACCTGCAGAATTTTCCAGGGCATAAGCTTTCATGAGTCAAAGCTCATTTTGTCATATATGTGAAGTATCTGATGAAGAAAACTTTAACTCATAAAAACATATACCCTGGGGGAAAAAATGTTGGTCTTTAAGGTGCTTACTGGACTCAATTTCCCCCCCCCCCCACTACAACAAACTAACACTGCTACCCACTTGAAACCCACAAATTAAGTTATTGACTTTCTGAACCTGGGGGAATAAAAAAACAGCGGTGGTACAGCAGACAGTTCATGCCCCTTGTTTTAATCTCCCGGTGTTGATTCTGTCAGCATTGTATGTGTCTTTTTTTCATTACTTAACAAATAGCAGCAGCTTTTCTGAATGGGAGGCAATTTTTACTGGGAAATGGCTTGGGTGGGTGGGGCTGAGTCCAATCCTTCTTCCTTATGGCTTCTTCACTTCCAGTCCTGGATCTCTCTAGTATTGTGTTGTTTAGTCCTCAGCTAGCAATACACCTAGATCTAGACATACCCATTTTATTCAGAGACAGTGAAACCAGCCCTATAGCCATAGACCTCTAAATTCTAATTGGTAAAAAGCCTTGATCAGGATGAAATTTTAATAGGAGGTAAAGAAGGAGAGCCATGTGAAGGAATTCCCCATTCCCTTCCACAGCACCAACTGCTATCCCTAGCCCTTTTTTTGGTTCTTTATATGAAGAATAGATCATGGAGATTAGATTCCCACCACCTTTGCCCCTTTCCTGTAATATAGAATAGACCCTACCCTTGTTCCCTCGGAGCTCTTTTTGTAGCAGGAACTCCTTTGCATATTAGGCGACACACCCCTAATGTCGCCAATCATCCAAGAGCTTATAGTAGCCCCTGTAAGAAGAGCTCTGTAAGCTTTTGGGGGATTGGCTACATTAGGGGTGAGTCGCCTAATAGGCAAAGGAGTTACTGCTACAAAAAGAGCCCTTCTGTAATGATTGCCTGTGACTTTGATCCGCCAGGCACACCATTCTTGCACTTCTGAAGACCATTTTTGCTTGTGCCCTTTTCCAATGGCATTGAACATTGAGAGAATTACTGTGTAACAGAGATAATGCCTTATGTCACCCTGTCTCCTCTTTTCAGATCATCATCTCCACAGCGATTTCCTATGGTGCCAAACTGTATGCAAATTTTGGGGTTAGTGTTGTAGGTGACATCCCCAGTGGGTGAGTGCCTTTTGTTGTTTCTTCCCCCCCCCCCATGAAAGTGCTTTGTTTCCAGAAGCTCTTTCAGACTTAGGCCTGTTCCGCATTTCAAAGCCGAAGAGCCAGCGCTGTCCAAAGACATTTCCGTGGTCATGTGGCCGGCACGACTAAACACCAAGGCACACGGAACGCTGTTACCTTCCCACCGAAGTGGTACCTATTTATCTACTTGCAATTTCTTGCTTTCAAACTGCTAGGTTGGCAGGAGCTGGAACTAGAGACGGGAGCTCACTCCGTCATGCGGCAACTCGGGTCTCGAACTGCTGAACTACCGACCTTCCACAGCCTGCAGTTCAGCGTCTTAAGCACTTGAGCCACCACAGCTCCTTACTCCCAATCTTTTGTGTGGTCAAACTCCAAGTTTTGGATTTGGCTTGGAATAGAGCGCTCCTCACCTTGTCCTGTTTCTCCTTACTATCTCCTGCTTTAAATTAATTGTTTTTCTGTTTGCAATGGCTCATAACATTCAGTTTTAAAATTTGAGGGTGGCAGACATCAGCGATGTAATCATTGCTGCCATCAGATCATCTCCCCCCTTTTTAAAATATGTGCAGGTGCATTAGCAATACTGTGCACTAGTGTTAAATTGAGATCACTCACCCAACACATCACTTGTTAAACCTCCCACTTCCCCCACCCAGGGTGGGTTGGTGTTTTCCCGTTAATTTTTCAGCCCACCCCTTTAAAAAGACTGCTGCAACATGGTTACCGATCATGTGTTATCCTGTGCCATTTTGAGTAATGTGCTGATGAATGTCCAATGCAATAACTACAAATAAGAGTGATATGTTCAGCAAAATAACATGAAAGTTTCCCCCCACTGCATGGCATTTAAATTAGTGCATTATCACAAGCCCAATAGTACTAAAAATTACATCTCACCCTGGGGGAAGGGGACAGTAAAGATAGCCTGAGGTAAATGGGATTACTAAAACCAAAGGCAGGAAAAGGCAAGGGGGGGCATGAAATCATGTGTACTGCTGAAGAATTTAGCCAACTGGCAGGAGAGCAGGAACTTTTTGAACTTATCTTGGTAGTGAACATTAGCGAACATCGATGGCATTGGAATAATGCAAGTGAAGGGATGACTTGAGGGCAGGCTCAGAGGTTACAGGAGGGAAATTAAAATAATCCAGACTCAAATAAGGATGATAAAAATTGCCAATGGGTGAATACTTGCCTTTAAAATAACGCATTAACGCATTATCACACGTATAATCCTCTACAATAATAGCACTTAGCTGTTCACATTAATGCACTAATGCCGTCTCTATTATAACAAAAAAATTATTGTGACCAGAGAGGAGTGGGATGGGAAAGGTAGAAGGCGGCATGGATACAGAGGAGAATGTTCACCAATCACCAATTCCAGCGTTTTTCACATGGGAGCAAGCCAACTTGCAATTGGCTTGAAAATAAAATTGCCCTATAAGTGCTCTGAGGAAAATACGCAAAATACCTGAGGAAACCCCAGCATTGACCTGACATGGAGAAAACGGGTTGCGGAATGAACAATTGGAAACATTGTCACATGATTGTATATCCCAGGTGAAGTATACATGCAGAAAGGGCCTTACTCTGGGCAATAGACTTCTTCTTTTTTAGGCTTGGCCTGTGCTGTACCTGAAGCAGAAATCGCTTGTTGCAGCTGTGCTTTTTCTTTAATTACAGGATGAGACCCCCTGAAGTCCCCAATGTAAACTATTTTGGGAAGGTTGTGGGCAATTCTTTTGCCATCGCTATGGTTGGTTATGTCATTTGTATCTCACTTGGCAAGATCTTTGCCCTCAGGCATGGCTATACTGTGGACAGCAACCAGGTAAAGTCCTTCCTTCTGTTGTTCTTTTCACGTCATAGAATAAATGGGGAAAGCTACAGACCAGAGGTGGAGACGCTCTAGGAAGAACTTAAGAGGGACATTTCTATTCTCATGAATTGGTTGCTTACAGATGCTGATAATTTATGGCATTTATTGTGTTTTGGTCTGTGCCTGGTTATCAGAAACTCATGAGTAAGGTAATAAACAGAAGGATTTATGAGGGTCATTTTGCTGAGTCACTGTGAGTCAGCACTGCAAACGCAAGCCGTGCAGCAATTAGGATTGTGCAGAGGTATTTCTTTGACAGCAAGGAAGAGGGGATAACAAGTTTTGTCCCCACTACTGACCTCCAAGTGTTGAGTTGGTTGTCTACACAGAGCCTATCAACTGTATGTTCGTAGGGTTCTCTCTGTGCAACCAGAAGCCTGTTTCCCAATGGCCTGGACAGATGCATACCTGCACGGCAGTTGGTCCCCTACCTTAACCGCGATGACCTGGCCACAGTGATCCATGCGACGGTCACCTTGAGGCTAGACTACTGCAACGCTCTCTACATGGGGTTGCCTTGTCACAAATCCGGAAGTTGCAGCTGGTGCAGAATGCTGCAGCCAGGCTGTTGATGGGTCTCTCTAGAAGGGACCACATTCAGCCTGTGCTGAAAGTGCTGCACTGGCTGCCGATAGCATACCGGATCCGCTTCAAAGTGCTGGTTCTTACCTATAAAGCCCTATATGGCCGGGGTCCAGCCTACCTGAGGGACCGCCTTTCCCCGTACGTTCCCCCAAGAGCACTACGGTCGGGGGCCCAAAACTTGTTGGTTATCCCGGGCCCCAAGGACACCAAACTAGCTGCAACCAGGGCCAGGGCTTTTTCGGTGGCGGCTCCTACCTGGTGGAATGAGCTCCTGGGGGAGATCCGGGTCCTGCGGGACCTTATGCAGTTCCGCAGGGCCTGCAAGACGGAGCTCTTCCGCCGGGCCTTTGAGTAGGAGCTGCCGCCCCTACTATACCATCACCGTCAGGGTTGATGAGGCCCTGAGGAAACATCTGAAATACCTGGATGTTGTAAGAAGATCTAAGCCATTCTCCTGTGGACGTAAACACCATTGGAAGCACCACCGGAACTGCACTGATGCCCTCTTTGGACCTATAACATTGGAAGTCTGAGCACCGTTGTTTTAAGTATTGGATGTTTTTAAATTGTATTATGATGTTTTTAAACTGTTATGTATGTTTGTTTTAATTATGGCATGGTTTACCTTGCCCTTGTTAGCCGCCCTGAGCCCACTGGGGAGGGCGGGGTATAAATGCGAAAAATAAATAAATAAATATAAATATACATGTAGGGACTGTGCAGAACTGGAGGTTTAGAGGAGAGCAGCAAATATGATTATACCCCTCCCATGTATTCAAAGTTGTGTCTATACAGTCCTTTGAGTGACTGTAAAGTTGGGAGTTGTTGGACTTTTCTCTTACATTTGTGTATTTATTATTCACTCCATGCATGAAGTTTCATTTATTATAGATGGTCTGTTTTCTCTGCCTAGTATTATAAAGGTGTAATTAAAACTGCATCTGAGTAGTATTTTTCCCTCAAATCTAATGTGATTTGCAGATGTTGCTCTATATGACATCCTTGTGTTTTGTGCACTGGGATTTTAATTTGATTTGCTATTTGATAAGAGGCTCTTTGGTTCTGAAAGCATCTTGGTTTTGGACTTGTTCTTCTCTGGGAGATCCAGGCCTTGGAACCTGGGCAAGCAGGCCTATACAAACTCTCATCCCTTCTCAATGGGAAATCTCTTGCAGGAGCTGATAGCACTGGGGCTCAGTAACTTTGTGGGTTCCTTCTTCCAATGCTACAGCATCAGCTGCTCTATGTCCCGCTCCCTAGTGCAGGAGAGCACAGGAGGCCATAGCCAGGTAAGTCCCAAATTGACAAGTATTTTTTTCCTGGTAAAAGCAGATGTCAGAGTATAGGAGAGGTCAGGGTGAGGGAATGCGTCAGAATGTTTGTGAGTGTGTGAAGTGCCGTCAAGTTGCAGCCAACTTATGGCAACCCTTATAGGGTTAGGCAAGTGATTAAGCAAAGGTAGTTTGACATTGCCTTCCTCTGCAAAATCTTCCTTGGTAGTCTCCCTTCCAAGTACCGACCCTGCTTAGCCTCTGAGATCTGACGAGATCGGGCTACATGATACCATTCCACATCCATCAGAGTGTTTGCTTGACCATTATTTGCTCATCAGACTGGTAGGCATTAGAGTGCTATTGCAGAGAGTACACTTGGGAGGTAGTTAAAAGTCACAGTGGAACACATTTGATCTCTGCAGTTTCAAATTTTTGCCTTCCTCCCTGTACTCAGTTATCTCTATTTTCTTGTCTACAGGTGGCTGGGTTGGTCTCTTGCCTTATCATCCTTGCGACCATCTTGAAGATTGGGGAGCTTTTCTATGAACTTCCCAAAGTATGTTTAACATTCTGTCTTTTGTTTCATTTGTTGGGGGGGATTAGTGATAGTACTCTGGGCCCATTATGTGAGCCATCACAATCTCATATAGCCTCTGCAAGACGACAACAGCCTGTATCTGTATGTAGGCAAAGGTAGTCTATAAATAAATTAATAGATAAATATCTCTCTTAGGGTTTTCCTCCTCTAAGATCAAAAGTCTTCCTTTCAAATTAAACAAAGGCTGTTATAGTAGAAAAGAATAAGAGTCCAGTAGCACCTTAAAGACTAACAAAATTTGTGGTAGGGTATGCGCTTTCATGCTCACTACTTCAGATAACAACTTCAGGTATCTGAAGAAGTGAGCAGTGAGTCACAAAAGCTCAGCCCCTGCCACATATGTTATTAGTCTTTAAGGTGCTATTGGACTCTTGCTCTTTTCTACTGCTACAGACAGACTAAGATGGCTACCCATCTTGATCTATCACAAAAGGGTGTTATGTTATTGTCTGAGAAAGAATTGCTATTGTACTTGGGTATTTAGGTATTTAGGACTCATGCCCTAAATCTTCCTGTGTTTTATGTTTCTTTCCTAGGCTATTTTAGCTGTCATTATTCTTGCTAACCTGAAGGGCATGTTCAAACAGTTCAAAGATATTCCTGAACTTTGGAGATCCAACTTTGTTGACCTGGTAAGGAAAAGAGGATGGGAACAGGAATCTAGGAGAGCCCAATTCTTTTCTGTCCTCATTCTAACAAAACAGGTGAGGTACATAATCAACAGAATTGCATGATTTTGCTCACATCACAGAACTGACAGGTATTGTATGGTTGAGTACTGCCCCCGGGGGAAGAAACAGGAAGAAACATACTAGAACACTAGAACAGCAAGGAAATAACCACACAATTTCAACGTGATGATTGTCTATGTATGGGAGTGATTGTTCTATTACTGGGGCGAGCATTCCAATAGGTGGTCTCTGCTGTTCTGGTTGATAAATAATTTGGATTTACTGGAATATTTTCCCAGCTGTCTCATTTGTTATTCCAGAGTCTGATCATTTGCCCCAGGAAACACCAGTGTCAAAATTGTAGCCATGGCCTATAGGTGTCTGTACTTGCATTAGTCTTCAGAGTCCAGTGGGAGAAGGCTCAGTTTGCATTGCCTGGGCCACAGCCTGTACAAAAGCCTAGAATACTCCCATGTGTGTGTGCTGCATCCAGGATCTTTATACAGCACATGTGGAATACAGTTGCCACAGCAGCACAGCAGTGTAAGATCCCATGCATATAGGGCCTCTACATATACATGGTGCAGATCAGACCCTCTTCTGCCCCTTGGATGATTACTCACGTTTGGCAGGGAGGATAGGAGTGCCTGCTAACTCCAAGTTGGGAAGTTCCTGGAGATTTGGAGGTGAAGTCTGGGGGGAGGGAGGGAGGGAGGGAGGGAG